TCGTTACACTTAAAGCGTTTGTTTTAAAGTACTCAAACAAGTCTTGGTTGTATTATTTGCAAGCCTACTCACCAAGATAACGGCTGAATTTCATTGGGCTTTCCTGTTTATCATCGGGGTTGAACATTTCAATTCCTTTTTTGTAACGGCGAAGCACCAGAATGTCATTGTGACGGATAGCGACGTCCGAGTGCGCAAGAGTCTTTGGCTTTTTAATCTCCCGAGCCAGCTCCCAATGACCTCCTTGACTGCTGACCTGTAATGCAAGCCAATGACAAAGCAATGTCGTTGAAAGGACCGAGGGTTGTGCCAAATATACCAATTGTGATGGGATCAAGCTAAATGAGTCGTTTGTCGGGAATTTTCATTTGGAGATACAGGCCAAAATAGGGCCACTTCATCACATCACTTCATCACATCTCTTGGTGTTCCGACTTCCATAATCAGTGAACTAAAGATGGCATCAGCACGCGGTTTTCACATCAGTAATGCTGAGATCGTGTCTTTTCAAATCTCTAAAAAAAACCGAAATGACCGGGGTTGACTATAAGGACTCATGTAGCTTGATCGCATAACAATTAGTCGTACATGTATATCTGACTGGATATACCGAAGCGCATACTCATTCGCATAATACGTTGTCAATTTGAGAAACGCCCTTGTTTGTTGAGGGATTCATGGGAGCAGGTGTTCTTTCTCACCTGTTGTCCGATTTTAGATCCTCCACGCTTGCCACGCCTAGAGCTTGGCTTGCTAGGACCCGGTGCACTTGACTCCTCTGTGATCGTCTCTTGAGCTGAAGGCTCTGCCATTTCCTCCTGAAACAAAATACCCACTGACTTCATGAAAACATAATCATTAACAGTGTGACACGGTGCTATCTAATTCGAAGCGTTGCTGTTGATGTTCTTCGCTAATATCAAGAAAATGATTGTATTTCAAATTAGATGAAGCAGTACAGTGACCGTTGTTTAATTATTAATTCGAGTTCAAATATTATATTCTTAATTAAGATTCTAGATTGTCTCTGACAGATATGTAACTACATTTTCTTGAAAACAAAATCCTGTAAAAGATCTGTCCAATCCAGGGTAATTCTCTTCCGGTGACTTACTTGTTGGCTGATTCCCTCACCCTTGCAACGTCTTGGTCTCTTGGGACGCATGGTGGGACCCGGTCTTGGTTCGTCTTCCAACGACTTTACAGTTGAACTCTTCGCTTTTCTAGTTGTCATTTTTTCCTTAAGAAAATGATAGTATTTCAAATTAAATCAAGCAGTGACTGGTGTTTAATTAATTTGAGTTCTTACAGTATATTCTTTACTAACATTTTAGGTATTTTTATATTGAAAAACAGCTCTCAAAAGTACCTTTTGTACCCATTTCATGACAGACACAATAGTCGTTTTTATTTCATCACACCTTAGGCTACATATACCCGAAAAATGACGGAAATGTCTTCGAGCATTCCACAACCTCTTTAAGGAGACACGTTATAGTAATTTCTTTGCACGATGGGAGACATCGGTCATTAGGGAGACATTTTCATGACTCCCTAATGTCACTGCTCCCATTTAGAGGCACAATTTTAGCATCGCAAATTGATTACATTTGTTGCTCGTGGTCTAATTAGTAAACATACCGAAATTCGTGGGAAAATAGACATGAGAATATTGGGTTAGGGCACATTTAAGTTTGAAAAATTTTGCGCACAAGTCTATGGGGATGTCTCCCAAATGTCCAATCCAGGGTAATTCTCTACCGGTGACTTACTTGTTGGCTGATTCCCTCACCCTTGCAACGTCTTGGTCTCTTGGGACGCATGGTGGGACCCGGTGTTGGTTCATCTTCCAACGACTTTACAGTTGAACTCTTCGCTTTTCGAGTTGTCCTTTTTTCCTGAAGAAAATGATAGTATTTCAAATTGAATCAAGCAGTGACTGGTGTTAAATTAGTTCGAATTCTTAGAGTTTATTCTTAATAACATTTAGGTATTTTTCTTGTCTCCGAGAGATATATTGCTACATTTTCCTGGGACCATTTCATTCTGTAAAAGATGGTAGGAATCTTCATTGTGCTGTTTAAAACAAAACGATATCTATAGGTGTTTCTCTCTGTATCTTACTCGTGGTCTGATTCCTCCACGCTTGGCACGTCTCTTGCCAGGCATGCTTGGTTCGACTTGGTGTTCTTTTATCTCCAAATCGTATGAATTAAGGCAATTCTGCAGGTAAAGGACAGACACTTATTCATCAGTTATGAAATGAAATAGCGGTTTTAGTGCGATTGTGGCGCTATAATGAGAGTTTAGCCAGAACTTGTACCAATTGGAAGCATCAGAAATGCCGGAATGTAAAACCAGTGTAAACACTTTGGCTTATAACATGCATCAAGAGCGAGATCTTCGAAATAGAATTCGTGAATTAGAGATCAACATTTCTTATTTGTACATCATTTTCCAAGAGACACTCTGATCTGAAATTAGCTGTAATGTAGTCTGAGAAAAAAGCTAGCCATGAAAAAATGTGTTATAAAATTCTGCTATCAAAATTGAACAGCCTCATGCATTCAGTATTCAGAATTGCCACATTATTATCTGGCAATATAAATTCAGTGTATCATGACTTCAGTTCATAATTGCCGCATATTATTGATGTTCTTGCAATAGGCTCTTCCCTTTTTCAAACCCCTTTTCTAAGCGCTGATTGCTCCTTTCACTGTTTGCAAACGACATCAGGGAATTTACGGCATATGAGGGGACCTGGGGTCAATTTCACGGCGCTGCTTAGCAGAAACAAAATATGTTTCGCACAAAAAGTATGATTTATAAAGGCACGTTACCAGCCAAAACTCCATGTGATTTTCATGCCAAGCAGGTAGTAGCTGAATATCAATCACAAGCAATACACATGTAGTTCACATGGAGTTTTGGCGGGAAACCTGCCTTAATTAGTATGGGTCCGCTCATAAGTCCGACGCTTCATAAAATCCGACAAAATCGCATCCCCCATCCGAATAAAGGCCCATAAGTCCGACTCCTCATAAGTCCGACGCCTCATAGCTCCGACGCCTCGGAGGTACGACACCTTGAACGCTTCGTTTTTCCGACGTCGGACTTATGAGGCGTTGGACCAATAAGGCGGAATAAATAAATGTTATGCCTGATAAGTCCGACGCCTCATAATGCCGAAATTTTGGACTTATGATGCGTCGGACGTATGAGGCGTCGGACTTTTGGTACGGCCCCTTTAGTAAAGCCATACTGTTTTGTGCTAAGCAACTTTGTGTGCTTATTAGCAGCTCCATGAAATTGACCCCTGCTAAGTACATGTCGTTAGCGCGGAAGCTAAATTACAGCTAGGTAATAATTTTAATTTACCCTATTAAAGGTGTTTTTGTAGGCTTACCTGTATGGTTTGTTGGCCAGCCACAAAAAGAATTTCTCCTCTCGATCTATTCAACAGCAGTTGAATTTAACTTCGTGCAGTGTGCGGGTACCAGGCAAAATGGCGCTTGGCATACAACGTATCGTCGTATGATCTGATGGCGCGTCCATAGTTAAAAATTAAACCCATTGAACTTTGTATATCAATAAGAACCTGTGAACTGCATTCACAGCACGCAGGCAACGAATTGTACCTTATCTTTGACCTTAACCTTTTCAAAGTTTGTTATTTAAAGCTCACAAGATATGCATCTATGTGCATGCAGTTGCAGCTCATATATATACCCGTGTGAAATTGCATGTACGTCGTGAGAGAGTACAATGAGGCCTTTACCGCTAGGTTTTGAAGTTATCACTAGCAAGCGTCCCTTGAGCTGAGCTTTCTCAGAAATTATGATGAAATTCAACAAAAAATCGCTCTCATTTTCTTTAATCAAAATGGTTGTGAGCTTCATATCGGGACTGCATTTGAAAGGCCACAATGTGTGTGATGAACCTATAGCTCAGGGGCAAGGGTTGCCCAAAATTGAAGAACAAAATGATGAATGAACAAAAGCGAGCATTATTGAGATCTGCTTTGAACACTTTGTATATTTTGTCATCATCGTCACTGACATTTTATAAAGTGTGGTAGGTATATGCGTCTTCTCTTTTTCGACGCACTAAATATCATTCTTTGCCCAAAACAAATTAGTGCTGCTTTTGACATATCGTGGGTCCCACGGCCAATCGGTAATAGGTGCTTGTAGTTTGTATTGAGGTTGCTTCGCTGGTATCCGTCCGGTCTCGTGTGTCGACAGCAGAACGTTAAGATTACATTTAACAAGTGACCTCCGATTTTCTCGTCTGCAATTTCTGATCACAAATTCATGTATTATCACACTTAATATGCAATGAACTAATAGCAATCATATCTATGATGGTTTCTAAATTGATGTGAATTCCATGATCATTAAAAATATAGAATTTCTGTCCCTGTATGGTGAATGAGATCAAGTTACTCATTTCACATAACTAAAATAACGAATTATCAGTGGATGATGTACATACCGCAGTGTCAATGAAAAAAAGATCGACAATATAGAATAATCACATTTCTTGCATTTGAGTTGTAAGGATAATCGTGTTTACAAGTATGTAAAAGTACAACTAAAATTTGTGTGTCGCTTCAAACTATAAACTTCTAGAACGTGAGCTGTATGTATGTGTTTTGCTTACTGTGACACATGATGGTGTTGACATCAGTAACTTCGCGTAGCAAATTGAGGCAGTCTCTATCAAGATAACTTATTTGAAGCCAAGCAAATCCACTAACAACAACATGACTATAGTGATTGATGACAAACATGGAATGGCCATATTTTTGACACAACAATTTGCTTAATCACAGTTGTATTTAATTGAGCAACATACCAACTATAAGCTGCATTCAAATCATTCACACAGCTTTAACGAATAATGTGGCTGTATGCAGTAAATAATCAAACTCATTGTTTTTAAAGAAAGACGACTGTTTTTCCGAACTTGTCTTTTCAAAATGTCAAAGAACCAGAGGGAATTCACAAAGCTGTATCAATGTAAACCGCACATTGTACTGATATTATACTATCAAACATTGTTTCTGTACATTGACTAAGTTTTTGGTTGTTTTCTAAATGACTTGTATTGTATTGTAATTATACAGCACAGTTAGATATTTTCTTTAAAGGATCACCAATATAGTAGTCACATTTAAGTTGCATGGCAAATTGTTAATTACAGGCGTGTAAAACTACAACTGAAATTGCATGTCGCTCAAAACTTAACTACATTTAGCTTCAACTGTATACTTTGCCACGGTATTTTGCATCACTAACTTAATGCAGCCGGACTACTTTATTCCATGAGCGCATCTGAAACTCACATATGACCTCTTTAGATGGCATGTAAATTTATCGAATCACACCTTCCGATACAGCTGGATGGAGTTGCCGGCGGCCACTGCCATCTGCCCATCGGACGTGAATGTGATTCCCGTAGGGCAAGGCAGACGCTGAGCCAGGCAACAAAGAAACCTTCCATCTAGATCATAGTGGTGAATATGACCACTGAAAAAGTTTTTAAGCCTCGCTGGAACATACAAACCGGAGCTATCACCGTAAACGCTCCCGCATTCCCTTGCTGACTGACTGCATATGGTGGGTTCCAGGGTGAATAGTATAATGCCATTACCATCAGTAACATCCACTCCTTCTTTACCGCTGATTATGACTCGGTCCTTGCTGTCAACAGCCAGATGCACGGGAGTACGTTTTACTGGTATGGTACGTAGAAGCTTACCATCAGTAGGTCTGTGTTCAGTGTACACATTCCTTTTCTGATCAGCCACCAAGATGGTACCCTCCTTCTTGACCGCTACTCCTCCTGGCACATGTTGCGGCTTGTCGAGCTTATCGGCTTCCTGACGCTGCTCGAACTCACTCTGAGGCGTCGTCTCGAACTCGTATGCCAGGGTGTTGTCGCTGTTTAACACCTTCACGTTGGGATCGAAACACTCAGCAACCACCAAGCGATTGTGAATGTGCTGGACTGCAATGTATCTTGGACCTATTAATTATTGAGAGTACAGATGCAATTTATCAATTTCCGTGCTGTTGTATGTTGTGAGAAAAAGGTGATGATTTGCCCTTGAGTATTAAACTGAGGGCTTACCGCATGATGACCAATAGCCAGGCAAATTATTACAAACCTCAACCATAGCTCCTTTTCACAGCATGATTTTACGGAGCTTGCATAACAAAGAACTTAAATATATCAATGAAAGGGACTTGGTCACAGTATCAAACAATGTTAATTGTTGCGATCAATTGCCCATTCTGCAGTGGCAATGAAATAACACTCATCAGGGTGTAGGCCAAGGATTAGGAATACTTCTGCAATTTATGACAAGAGACGTGTTATAATTAAATAACAAATGGTGTGATGCCAGGTGTCAAGTTAAATATCATTAGATATAATAATTGTTTGTTCGAAAGTCTACTTTATGTATTTGCCTTTTCAAAATCTTTGGAAATTAAGAAAGGGCATTTGCCAATCATCACGATAGTGTTTTCCTTTTTGGCATGTTACAATTATAAGATGTTCAATGCTACTTCAGATCAAATGAATGAAACGAATATAAATTGTAGCTAACTCAACATATTGGCAGCGTATATCATTCTGCCAACTCACCTTTGGGAAATGGTATTGAACTTTTCTTTTTGCCATCGTTGCTGCAGATCACAACTTGGTTGTTGCGGAAGCGAACCACTGCAATCTCATCTTGACGGGCAGCGATGGCTTGACAATCACTCCAATCTTTCGCTGCAGGCTTCAGACGTATCTCACTAACGAGCTCCCAATTGTCTTTTTGACTGCTTACCTGTAATGCAAGTCAAGCCAAAACAATGTTGTTATTTATTTATTTATTTTATTTATTTATTTTATTTCTTTCTGGTAATGAAACCAAGGATCCCTCAAAAGTGCCCTTTGCACTGTAGTCCGGAAGCCTGAAGAAACCTGTAGAGAGAAGACAATGAGAAGAAATTACAGTTTTAGAGGTGGGAGGAAAAGCCCAGAGAAATATGCTGAGGAAACCCACGGAATCAGGTAGGGACTGTAAACCCAATCCACATATTGGCCCGGGCGGGATTCGAACCCGGGTCACAGCGGTGGAAGGCGAGGAAAGTACCGCTACGCCAACATGACTCCCCTGTTGAAAGCACTGAGGGCTGTGCCAAATGTACTAATTCTTCGAATATTTGATGGAATCTTTTACTATTCGCATATTCAGAAACGTTGAAACGACCCGTGTATTTCTTACCCGTTATCTTACCCGTTAACTGTATGTTTCCTCCACTCTTGCTTAGAACTCACCTTGCTAGGGCCTGGTGTCGGTTCCTCTCTGGTCGTCCCTTGAGCTGAACTCTCTGCTTCTCCAGTCGTGCTTTCTGCCTGAAACAAAATAGTCACTTACTTTTATGGAAACATAATTCGCAGTGTCACTGGTGCTAATTCAATTTAAAGTTCCAGGTACTTCAAGCTTATGTGGTTTTATTTTTGGTAGACGTTTTTTGCTTCATTTGATTTACTCAAGGAATTAAAGTATTTAATATTCCTCGATCCACGCTTGCCACGCCTAGAACTCACCTTGCTAGGATCCAGTGTTACTTCGTCTCTGGTTGTCTCTTGAGTCTCTGTTTTTCCAGTCGCCATTTCCACCTAAACAGAGAGATGCCCACATGCTCCATAAATACTTAAACATCATTGAATCGTTTCGTGGGATATGCACAGATAATTTAATTCGAGGCTTTACTATTATAATATCAAGCTTATCGATTCATGGAGGCTTGCTGCATTTAAATTACTCAATGACTTAAATATATTTAATACAATTGAATAGTAATATTATAGTAATATAATATAAAGATATCTGGCCAAAACAAATCACTGATCCATGCAAAAGAATTATCGAGAATTCTGATATGTTTTGTTCCGAAAGCTATAGGACATTTACCTAACTGACCACTTTAATGGCACATTGAACGTCAAGTTCTATGTAGGAGTTTATATTATAGTCAATGAACGGGTACACATTGAATCCAGTCCGCGGGTACAAAAAGTTGCATTAAAGTCAGAGACAGGCATAGGGCCTAAGTATATGTAATTCTCTACCGCGACTTACTTGTTGGCTGATTCCTTGACCTTTGTAATGTCTAGGTCTCTTGGGAGACATGGTGGGACCCAGTGTTGGTTCGTCTTCGTTCAACTTTACAGTTGAACTCTTTGCTTCAGTTGTCATTTTTCCCTAAGAGAAAATGATTGTATTTCAAATTAGATAAAGCAGTGACCGTTGTTCAGTTATCAATTCAAGTTCAAAGAGTTTATTCTTAGCTAAGATTTTGGATTGTCTGTGAGAGATACATTTCCTTGAACATTTTAATCTGTAAAAGATGGTAGGAATCTTCATTGTGCTGTTTAAATGTTTCTCTCTGTATCTTACCAAGGGCGGATCCAGGGGGGGCAAAGGGGGCCATGCCCCCCCCCCAAAAAAAACCGAAACCAATTTTTGTTTTTTTTATGTGACATCGCAATAAAGGCAGGCAATGAGTACACCACCATCTTTTCCTGAAAAAAACATTGGTTAAAGGTCAGAAATTGCCTCAGATCGCACCACAGAGCATCTAGAATCCAAATTTTGTTTGGCCCCCCAAAAAAGTGTGTTCTGGATCCGCCCTTGTATCTTACCCGTGGTCTGATGATTCCTCCACGCTTGGCACGTCTCTTGCCAGGCATGCTTAGCTCTACTTGGTGTTATTTTAACTTCAATCCGTGTGAATTCTGGCAAGTCTGCAGGTAAATGACAGTCACTGAATCATCAGTTATGAAATGAATGATAGCGGTTTTAATGCATTATTGTCGCGCTGTAATGAGAGTTTAGCCAGAACTTGTACCAATTGGAAGCATCGGAAATGCCGGAATGTAAAATCAGTGTAAACACTTTGGCTTATAACATGCATCAAGAGCGAGATCTCCAGTACACAGCTGTGAAGAAGAATAGTCGATGAGAGACCAGTATTTTTTCCAGATATACTCTGATCTGAAATTAATTAGTGGGACCTGTAGTCTGAGAAAAATAACTAAACATAAAAATGAATTCTTTAATATAACTCTGCCACATGGCCACTCGATCGAACAGCTTCATGAATTCAGTGTTCAAATGTGGTCGCAATATACTCTTCCCCTTTTCAAACCCTTTTCTATATGCTGATTGCTCGTGTCACTGTTTGCAGTCGACTCAACAGCAAAAAAAGTAGGGCCTATATATATGGTGGGACCTGCTACGTCCCACCTGCAGTACGTACGTGTGGTTTGAAATTGCATCTAGTTATTGCAGAATAAACACACCTTCCTCAAAAGCCAAGTTGCAGCTTCATAATGAGTCTCATTTACCGTATTACCAGTAATTGTCTTCTTGTAGGCTTACCTGTCGCTTTGGCTTGCTGGAAACGAATTTCTTGGCTCGATCTGTTCGACAGGCAGTCGATTTACACTTCTGGCAGCGGGCGGATACCCATAACATGACGATTACCGTACATCGTATATGATGCTTGCAACCATGGATAGTTAAATATTAATCCCATTGAACTTCGTGTCAATAAGAACTCGTTGTCTGCATTCATCACGGTGTAGCATGAATTTAGGCTTTATGAAATACGGACTCATTGGTGGTATTGCGCATGCTCATGCATAGATAATTAGGAGAGGGGGCCGGTCACGTGAGAGGGTTTAATCAATAAAAGGGAAAAGAGTCCGATTTTCATACGAGTCCGATTTTCATATGACAACGGCACACATATAATGAATCGTACCTTATATTCTACCATGACCTTTTCAGACTTTGAATGTTAACTTCATGATATGCAACTACGCTGGCAGCTATAAGTGACTGAGTCCAATTGCCTACGCTATAAAATCATATTCTTTCCCAAGTCAGAGGGTTAATGGAAACCAAGGGCGGATCCAGGGGGGGGGGGGGCCCAAAAAAAAGAAACCAATTTTTTTTGTTTTATGTGACATCGCAATAAAGGCAGGCAATGAGTACACCACCATCTTTTCCTCAAAAAACATTGGTTATAAGTGGTCAAAAATTGCCTCAGATCGCACCACAAAGCATCAAGAATCCAAAAAAAAATCGGGGCCCTTCAGCGGGCCCCGAACCCCACGCCGTAATTTTTTGGACCCACTTTTTTTGGGGGACCAAATTTTTTTTTGGCCCCCCCCCCAAAAAAAATTGTGTTCTGGATCCGCCCTTGATGGAAACTGAGGCACTTCCATTTTAGGTTTTAAGTCTTAACCCTTGGAAGCGTCCCTAGAGCTTACATTTTTTTCAGAAAGTATGACGAAATTTTACCTCAAGTCCCTCTAATAAATTCCAATTCAATTGGCCGAGGGCCTCATATCGGGACTAGGTATACCTTAAAAAAAAGTGATCATCGTTGCAAAGAAAAATAAAGTAGGCATATAGGTCAAGTGATTGCCGAAAATGGAAAAAGGGGAACAAATCAAGGTTTATTGTCTTCCATTAAATGTTAATGAGGCATTTTGACGGCCTCTCTTTTTGTCTCATTACATGTACATCATTTTTTTTTCGTAACAAAGCAGTGTCTGGAAGAGTCTGCAAGAGTTTGGTTATATCCACCTCGGCTGCGGCCGGCCAATGATGATGATGATGTACGATAAACTTCCCTTGTGTCTATGTCTCGAGAGTCGACGATAGATGCGTTATTAAAAATGACAATTCACAGGGAACTCAATTCATCAGATCTTTGCATGATTTCTGGTCGTATAAGACGGGGTAATAATGAATGATAGCAACCACGTGTATTTCTGTATACATTAATATTTTGCTTGAATACCATGATCACTATATAGAACTTCTCTGCAGTAATGAGTTATAACTCACCATATTCACTTCACATAATAATAAATTATCAATGGATTTGTTATGTTGATGAAAAAATAGATTTACAAAATAGATTTATTACATGTCGTGCTTTGTAGTTGCAAGAAAAATCATGTTTACAGGCCGTGTAGTAAAAAACGACAAATTCAAAATGTATAATAATATGTCTCTCATCACTATAAAGAGTACTTCGCTTACCGTGAATTGGCATCATTAACTTCACTAAGCCTTGTTGATATGATAATTGTTACAATTCTGCCAATCGAGTCTTGCTCCGTTAAGATAACTTATTTGAAGCCAATTACATGTATAGCAACTAACATGATTAGGCCTTTAGTTTAGTGAACGAATACAAACACTGACCACATCATAACATACTGCAAATTTATCAACATTGCTAAGTAGTTTTTGTTCAGATAAGAACAGTCCTGCTGTAAGTTCTAAACGAACTTGTCTTTTAGAAGACAAGTTCGTTTAGAACTTACAGCAGGGCTGTTCTTATCAGAACAAAAACTACTTAGCAAAGTTGATAATAAGCAGGACAAGTTCTTTTCAGAACTAATATCTTCTAAGCAGTCACCACATGGTGTTACCGCATACCGAAACGATACCGATACCCCACCATGCAAAGCCTCAAATATTATACTGCAAATTGCTTAATCACATTGTGTTCACTTGAGCAGCATTTTGAACACCAGCTGCATACCTTACCGTACACCAAGTCTGTATTGACTAAATAATTGATTGATTTTTAAAGAATTTGTCAGTCAATGGAATGAATGAAAAATGTTCTCGCCCCTCCTCCCGGCCGGGCCCATGTGACCCCTCGGAAGAAATTAATTTCAGTCAAGCCACAAGACTTGCAGTTACGAAACCTCGGCTTCAAAACACGTTTGGCTTCAGGGAACTCTGAGGTAGAGCAACAAACTACTGTGATAGAAACACCATACTCTATCATGTCACACAAGACCGTAATTACGTCCAGGATTAGAAGTGGTAATGGGGATTGAGGAAAATTGGAAAGTGAACTTCTGCCCGAAGAAAATTCAGGCAGCTGACGTGCGTGATGACATGCTGGCCTTGTACGTGTAGCCGGAAGGCTGCGTGTTTCCGCCACTTCGCAACAGTGCTTTTTGTGGACGGAACCGTGGGACGGTAACCAGTATCAGTGTATAAAATACAATGAGAACTCTTACATGTGAATCAAAACAGGGGATGGGGACCCGACTACCCATCAGAAAGCAAGATGGCGGCTTTGAGAATTCTTCGGACCCGAGGTTAGTGACAAAAATCTCTCTTTTTTAATTCTTTATTTACACGTTACTTGTGTATCTTTGTTACCGTTCCGATTCCTATGTTTAGAATTTAAAAATAAATTGTAAAATTAAGAATCGTTTTGGGGAAATTATGCTGTAAACATGGTAAAGCACATCTCGAAAAAGTCGGCAAAGTTGTCTGGCCTACGTGCATGACGTGCGTGCGGTTGCGTGCAATAGGCTACATCATACATGTACATTCTATAGCAATGTGTGTAACGTTACATCATAAGATGTTGCCCAAATTTCGGACACTTGACAAACTTAAAAAAAAATGTTGATGCCACGTTTTTTCTTCATACATGTCATAGGCAACTCAATAAAGGTAAGTCATTGCAAAACTGTTGAAAAGACATGAATCAGGGACTGACAATGACTGAGCAAACTCGGCATGAACAATTAACATGATCATGATGATGAACAGAAACATTAATTCCAATTTTGTTAGGAAAAAATTGGGCCTATATAGATTTTTTTTCAAGAAATAGATATGATACATGTAACCTCAAGCAATGGCAATAATTGCAAATGCAATACACTTGATAAATTCGCAATGACCTCTTAATGATTTTGCAATGCCGTAACGATGGCAGTTGAAAATCGTGTTACACCTACCGCAATGATCCATGTAGCTATGATAAATATACATGTAAGACGCCAAAATAATGAACAAATAAGCCCACTCATGTTCCTCACGAAAGAGATGTATATATGTACATGTATTTTTCTATGGTGAACCCGCAAGCTAATGTCACTAGATTTCACTGGGTTTTTTTTATGGAAGATTGTAATGAAGTTACGATCATTTGTGCACAGCTTTGCTGGTCAGCCCTCAGCTTGTGACCCGCTCGTTTCTGAAGACCGATAATGCTAGGACACCTTACGCTCCCACAGCTGTACACACAACTCCACAGAATCAGAATGCTGGTAAGTTGAAATATCGTCACTGACACCACGAAGTAACACCCAAGTCCACTTCAGTGTAACTTTGTCAGCCGACCAGCTTGGAGAAAACTGGCTTTTTTCAAAAACTGCTCCGCATTTTCTTTGCAGTTGATTACACACCTGTGAAGGGGTACAAGCCAGCTAGACCGATTCACTGAACTTACAATTCCCCAAAGTCTATAAATTGCTCTGTTTCATCTTAAGTGGAGTCAGGGAACTAGACTACAAGAACATGATTGGTTTTCTAGGTTTTTCCAGCATCTACAACCCTAAACATGAAACAATTCAGTTCAACAATATTTGCTAAAACATACTTATCCTCCAAATCCATTTATTTCTTAAAATTGCAGCAAAAGCAAATGTTGTACATTCCCTTTAAGCATTTAAAATGTTTTACGGGAATATAATTAATACCTATTCATTTAGGATTACAGAAAATTTTAATTAATAAAGAGCCTTCAAACTGGTGAAACAAAAATGACCGGCCTAAACCGCGACTTTCACGGGCATCATCTGTCGAGTTTTTAAATGCATGTACCTGACGGTTTTTTTTTTTCAGGATCAGGTACATGTACCCGGGCCCAACCTTTCAGACCGTGAAAAAAGAAAAGTTCAGAACGTCATTTATGGGAAATGTTCCAAATAAAAGCCCCGCTACATGGAAACCGATAACAAATTTCACATTTACATGTAGGTGCATTTTAACATGTGACATCCTGATGAGGGATCGCGAAAGTTGCAGTTTACTCTGTCAAGCTATAAAACCTTTCAGACGACTTGAATTTTAGGGTTGGGTTTCTTTTAAGGGTAACTGGATACCCATGTTTTACCTCAACAGGGTACCAGGATAACCAGTCCTTCTGATTTGAGTTGTGCGATCGCACCCCCACGCCATCGCACACCTAAAATCTTCCCGAGAAGTGTGAATAATCGCACGCCTGAATCCCTCTGTAACGCACACCTCGTCATACATGTACGCAAAATTATACTTTTGTGAAAAAATGTGCGTCGGTGAAGAGAAAAAAAAACCAAGATGAATATTATAAAAAAAAAGTACCAGATTATTCAGTCCCAGCTTCGGCCACAGAATCACACGCCTAGAAAATTCACACGCCTAGAAAATTCACACACCTAGAAAAATCCACACACCTAGAAAAATCACACACCTAGAAAATTCACACACCTAGAAAAATCCACACACCTAGAAAAATCACACGCCTAGAAAATTCACACACCTAGAAAAATCCACACACCTAGAAAAATCACACGCCTAGAAAATTCACACACCTAGAAAAATCACACGCCTAAAAAATTCACACACCTAGAAAAATCCACACACCTAGAAAAATCCAAGTGTGCTTTTTCCACACGCCTGTGAATTTCAAATCAGAAGGACTGGATAACAGTGTTTTACTTCAATATGGTACCAGGTTCCCGGTCTACCCGTAAATGCACACCACTACGGAGTTCGTATTCTGTATTTCCAGGTCAGTCTGGTATGATGGCGTCGACGCGCTGGAAATTTGAGCACATGGTCACTCTGGCAATGACGGCAGCCGTTCCGACTGCTTTCATTACACAGCATCCTTTGCTGGACTACGTGCTGGCCGGATGTCTGACTTTACATGGCCACTGGTAAGTTTATTAACCCTAACCATCCCAAATCTTCCAAAATCCTTTTTGCAAATTGCCTTTGGAGGAATTTGCAGGATTGAGGTTACATGGCAAAAGAGCGTTTGTGATTTCGGAGGATGCACTATGTGTCAAGGTCTTGGGCCGGAAAACTTGTGTTGTTTATGCTCAGCCTAGCATAAATTTAGTCCTTGATTATACTTAAAATCCTCTGCACTGCCTCTGCGTCAACCTATTGACAGTCATAGCTGGAGGATTTTGCAGGATTCAGGCAGTGGTCACCTCTCCATGGACCATATTCAAGAAATAATGGAGGTTCACAGGATTGAGGCTATGCTATTTTTCCATGAGGCCAATTAGAAGATTTTGCAGGATTGAGGCTACATCCCAGCAAAAAGGCCTAGGGAGTTAGGGTTAATTTGCATTCTCCCCTTAGTATACTATTGCCTTTGTAACCTTTCACCTCTGCGGTCCCGGTTCAATTCCCACCTAGGGCTATATCTGGATCGAGTTTTCATCCCTACATGTACCTGATTCCGGGCTTTCCCATGGAACAGGCTTCCGGGCTTGTCTTCTCACATCTGCTAAGTTTTTACAATTCTACGCTACCGTTGCTTAGCATCTTTGAGGGGTTTGAGGGGTCGCAGGTTCGAATCACACCACAGTAGAATTAATCAGTACATTTGTGTTATTCCTTTGAAAAGGGGTATGGAGTCGATCTTCTTGGACTACATGCCCGGCAAGACCTTACCCAAGGTGGCCAACTCCTGTCTGTTCGGCGTCTCGGTGTTGACGTTTGCTGGGCTCTGCTACTTCAACTACAACGATGTCGGGATCACCAAGGCCATCATGATGCTGTGGTCATAAACCAGCCCAGATCCTCATGAAATACATCAAAGAAATGATATCTAAATCTCTCTATCATGACTACGAATAGACCTTATGCGTGGCAGGCACCTTAGAGGGCAATGCCTTTGTTAAGATGGCCACTATACATAGAGTCTATCCAAGCTTTTCAGGGTTGTACCAGAGTCAGTCACGAGTCAAGTGGGTCCAAAATTCCGTGCAACCCTTTTTCAGAAAAAAATTTACCCATTTCCCCCGTCCCCCTCCCCGACCCAATACATGTACTGGATTATGCTCTAATGGGTTTGGAGTCCGGTGTGGTGTGTAATTTGGACTCCCATGATATACATCCCCATGGACTATAGCATCCATGACTCAGCGAATAGAAAGGGAACTCGCTGATGCATATGATGCTGATGCATGTCTATATAGGTAAAGGGACCAGATTTCACAGGAGTCCAAATTTCACGTGACACTGAATTTTACTTGGCTAAAATTTGGCTGACAACGAATGTGAGTTTTACATAGCTTTTTGGATGATTGAACCCACTGTTGCAGAAACACAAATCATATTGGTATTGGTCAGGGCCCGCCTAGTCATATCTGGGACGAGTTTCGGACAGGTTGTGGCTATATTCATTCATTGTGTCCCAATTAAGCTCTGCATCATATTTATCCAGGACATGTTCCGTGAGACTCTTCATCAGCAACTGCTTTTCGCACCGATATTGATCACTTCATTGTGGGAAGATTGGTGGAAAGATTGCTTGGAACTTGTTCAGAATACTGCAACTATACAGCGTGTGTCAATAAAAACGCAGGATTAGAAACAAAAATATTAAGAATATAAACCACCCCTATTCATCATAATGTTAACCCTCTTTTCAAAGTACCTTTCCTTCTCTTCACTATGCTTTTTATCCCATCTCATTTGGACAATCCTGTCCAGAGATAGAGTACATTGAAGAAGGGTTATAAATTCCAAGCTGGTCTGATGTGAAATCACACATACCTAATGAAAGGTTTGAGTTCAGTACAGGTGAAAGTATTTGTGGATCACAAAGAAGGACATGTGTGGCAGGATTAGGCTTACATAATCCTTTAGTCCACAATCAATGTTATTAGTCAATAATTCATGATGCTTTGAAACAATGATAGTCCAGTTATTAAATTTAAGTGATACTTATCATCAGTTGTTTCAAAGAAAGTTTTTTCTGGTTTAATTGTCTTCAATGCATACCTACATTGTACATAACTGGTCGTTGTGTTAAGGTCATTGAATCAGACCAACCCGCTTCAGAAGGGCTTCACAAAACTTGTCATAACTTTTGAACCAAAAGTCCAAATTCCACCAAACAAAAATCTTGTCAAAGATGAAATTATGGACAATCAAATCCTTATCAATTTAGGCACACCAGTAGCATAATTTTCTCAGAAAAAAAATCGCTTTGAATCCTGCGTTTTTATTGACACACGCTGTACATGTATACCTGATGGTACAAAGCCCAGAACATGTCCCAGTATGAACTGAGACAGGCCCTGAGCAGTTACCGTAAGGCAGAGGAATAAGTTGTGCTGAGTGAGAAGTTCAGGCTGACATACTTGTTTTGTTAACAGTAGAAATAATATTGCATTTGATTTGAAGCTGTGTAGTTTACGTACAGGATTTTAACATTAATGTGTGCAAGAATGGTCTGTTATCCGTACAGTACCCCCAAATGTGAATTTGTTGTAAAATAGTCAGGTGACTAGATCAGGGGGATGTGAGTTTTATGAGCAGATGTCCATAATCATAACCACTCTTCCACAAATAACTAATCCGAGTCCATCACAAGTCCAGGCGGAAACTTGTCTGGTCACAAGTAAGTCCCCCAAAGAAGTCTCTGGTTTCTGGTATGCGTGCGGATCACAGTAGCTGTGCGCATCGGCAAAATTTAAAAAAAAAATTCCAATGCTTTTTAATTAGCGCAATATGTAATGGAGCAGACTAATAACCAGCCTGGCAGCACACGCATGAGCAGCACACGCATGAGCAGTACAATGTTAATGTCGCTGGAGTGTTTGGTAGTGTATCTGATTTTCGTCTTGACTATCAAAATGTCCCGAAGAGTTTTCATGTCTGTCGAGATCGTAAGTGGGTGCAGAATTCTCAAGCCTTATGGCCTTACTGACATCACCTCAAGTTCCACCCTGAAGGATATTTTTGAGAGTTTTTAGGGGATCGAAGCGTCATCTGTAAGCCAACATTTGAAGAAAAGTAGGAGGGGGAAAAAAAACCTGCGTTGCTTCACCTCTTTTGGGGCAAGCTCCATACCAGAAACCGGAGATTTTTTTTTTGCCTAACAAAAAATGAACAGTAACAATAACAGGGATGCCTTTGTCGCACTTCGTTTGAAGAGCTTGTGATCATGACTTGACTTGGGAAAGGACGACTCATTATTGGCGTTTGATAAACTTGTGAAGACTTGTAATGGACTAGATATACCATACAGTTAAAATAGTCCAACTTTTTCGACAAGCTTTGGCTAAAGGTGTAATTATGTACGCTAATAATAGCCTACCTCTTGCGTTACAGACTTATTATTATTATCAAAATATTGGCATTGGATAAACGCCATGGTTCTTGATGAAAGCTCTAACAGGCTATGTCTCAATCTGGGTTGAGTTTTAAGCTGCGGCAATATCAGAGCTTTAAACTCAAAGCCGGACGTCAATGTCATAACCCACTATTTGGCTCCAAAATTGTGCTTTAGCGGCAAGTCAAAGTTTGTATAAAGACACATAGTTCATTTCTGAAACCGTGGTGTTGGTTTTTTGTAGATTGGGCTTCCTCTCGGGATTCAAAATGAATAAGCCTTGCATGTTCTAGCCCAACTAAAGACTCATAATTTCCTCAAATTTCCTGTTGCATACAATGGACCAACGTTGAACTAGAGTCTACAGTGTATGGCCTGAAATCATGTAGATGAGCTCGGAACCATAGCTGGGGCACACCCGTGGTTTTAGAAATGCCAGAAGGCTGTGATTGGGACTGTGAATATGAAGGCCTTTCTAATACTTGATAGGCTGGATCTACCCCATTCATGTCGTCGGCTTAAAAACATTAATGTGTAATGCAAGGTTTACAATTGCTTTAGTATAGTATTGCTACCCGATGTTAACTTCCTAGTGCATGTTTCATATTATAACTTTGTGATTTGAGCTGGTATCTGCTTAGGTTATGGAATATCCCCTTGCACAGCTAGGGTCTATGATATGCAAGCAGATTCGGCCATCAAGTAGGCAAAAACAAAACTGCATCTTGATCTCATGATTCTGATAATTTAGTGGGCATCTTCTTATCGGTTACACCTCTATGTTCCGACACCCCTATGTTCCGACTGCACATATTCCTATTCCTAACCCTAACCCTAACCCTAACCGTAACACAATCTAGGTTGTCGGAACATAGGGGTGTCGGAACACAGAGCAGTCACCTTCTTATCAGGTCTTCGGTAACCGTTTTATTCCAAAACATGGTAGCCAAATTGACCAATCAACAGCTTAGTCCACATTTCTGATCGAAATGACGTCACTCATCATTCGGGTATAAACATGTTTTGGTCCAATGTGATAAAGGAAAAAGTTTTGTTAACAAGGGAGTTC